TATATATATATAAATCTGTTTGTGAACCATTGAAACCCTTAGGGATACTACACAGCCACACAGAAGATAGCTCTCTCTAAGAATCTTTTCATAACCCAGGGTGTATGCGACTCTCATTTAAGTGTATGCACTCATGTGCACATACACACACATAGCTCCTGCTTAAGAAGAGCCCACAATAAATATTATAAAATATTATAGACAAGGGGGCCCTCCCTGATGTCACAATGGTTAAAGCACAGCACCAGGAAGCTGTCAGCAAGCACTTCAGCATGAGTTCAACCCCCAGCCCCAGAGGTGACCCACGTGACACGGCAGACCTCCCCTGAAATGCCTGCTGCTCCCCTCAGCAGTGTACTTCATCAGTCTGCCTGTTCAGCTCCCCACTCTGTCTCTAGTGAATCCTCTCACTGCTTCTGTACCCCAGTTCTGGATGCATAAATAAATAAATCTAAAATATCTAGAGAGACAAAGAAGCAACCCACTGTAAGGAAGAATCAGCAGACATAACAAACTGGAGAATGAATAATCCAAGAACAGTGCATCATAGGACAATGTGTAACAAACCTAACAAGATACTTAAAAGTAATAGAAATTAGAAACAAGAAAATAAATATATATTTGTGTGTGTGTGTGTGTGTAATCACTAAAGGAGTAAAAAGGGGTTAAAATGTATAACTTCCAGAGGATAAAATAAGACACATAAAACTGCTATTAGTGGGGTGTAAATTGGTCCAACTGTTTTATCGAGCAATTTGCCATAACTAGTAAAGTTCGAAATCTACATATTCTATGAGCCAAAAATTGTACTTTTCAGGCCCTGCCTTAGAGATGGAATTGCAGATATGTCCAGGAAGCAAGCACAGCCCTGGTTTAATACTGAAAACCAGAAATGGTCAAAATGCCCATGAGCAGAATAATAGGTAAATGAATTGTGTATTTTTAAAATAAAGAAATAGTATTCTGAAATTAAGATTCATGCACAGGAGCTACATGAAACTATAGGGATTTTAAAAATTGAGAGAAAAAAAAGAAAGCTTCAGAAAAACATGTACCACACAATATCCCTTAGATTTTAAAAACATACAGATCAATATTCTGCATCATTTGTGGATACAGATGAAGTGAAACTGTACAGCCATAAAGAGAAAAGCTAGCTGTGAGTCAAATGCAACAAAAAATGAACAGTTGTTGGCTTTCTGTGGTTGCACATGGGTCTTGTTACTCTCTGTGCTGTTCTTTTCTGTGTGTTTAAAAGACTCGCTCTTTTTGTCTTTTTAATGAAGGGATCTAGGCATTTAGAAATAAGGGTAAAGAGGGATAAATCGCTGCATCAGTTCTCAGAGAAGATAATCTGCTGGGCTGGGATTAGGAAGGAGGTTGAGCCCCCAGTCCAAGTATTATAAGTATTAGTTCAGCTCATCCCACAAAGATGGCTGACGTCCCCAAGGCTCCTGGCCCTTCAGAGAGATATCCTGCCACCACAATCCCCCTCCCACAACTTACTGACCTTTTCTCCTGCCTTCTTATTTCAGCCCGCCCTCAAAACTGTACTGGGCTGACAAGCCCATATTTGGATCCTGAAAATAGACCGATTTAGTTCTCTGCCAAATGCACCCAAGTCAAGAGTGAATGATGACCCACATCCCAGAAGCGGGGGGAGGGGGGGGGAGATTAGTACTAACGTGATCAGAGCTCCCTGAGGTGAGCTTGGCACCCTATGTGACAACTTCCACTCCTGTTCCTCCCTCTATCAGCCAAAAGATCAACAGACAAGGTCAACTGCTGACTAACCCTGTTGGCTGAGCCAGAACCAGAGGAAGTTATGCTGGGGCAGAACAGTGGGCTTCCAGCATTAGGGTCTGGCATGCCCCTGAATTCTCAGCCCCTGCCCTCCCAATGTCAACCCCTTCCACCAGCCCTGACAACTGCTTGCTCTCCAGGTCTGACCAGGTCTCCTACCTGGAGCAGCCCCTATGGAAGGGATCTGGGTGGGCTTGCCCAACAATCTTGCCGACCCAGCCACCTTGACACCGGTTCCAGAGAGGAGTCCTGTCCTCTGGGGATAAATGAAACCTGCCTGATTTGTGCTCACCATCTCTGAGCACCAGATTGAGGAATATGATGGGATAAAAAGAGGAGAGAGACTGAGACAGGCAACGTTGTAGTTACTCAGTAACATTTAATTCCATAAGCGTGAAATCATGTTAAATGATAAACCAGCGCTAACTGTGTAGCTGGAGATTTACCTGTACTCATTTATCCTATGTGTCAGGTACTTTGTCAGATGCTAGAGGTACAATGCTATTTCCCAACCTCCCTGGGGAGACAGAAAAGTAAAAGCCTGACCTTGACAGTCTAGAGTGGCCAGAGCTGCCCGGAGGGACTGAGAGGAGCGAGAGCAGGACCAGCTCAGGGGGTAGGGGTGGAGCCTCACGGTTTCTGGGTTTCTGGTTGAGACCTAAAGGGGTGCAGGACCCCTGCCTCATCCAGCATACGGTAGCCATCCCTTGATTGAGTAACTGAATACGTGAAGTAATCCCTCAGGGCTCTCGCGTCTCCGGGCCATGAGAGTAAACACCCCAGTGCCCGCCTTGTGCAGGGCAGAGCGGGTGGGGGTCCTGGCTCCGAGCCAACACGGTGTGGTGTTAGGTGGGAGACGGTTGTGGAGGGAGGAGGTCTTTGGGCAGCGAAGGTTGACTGGGGCCAACGAGCGGGCCCTCCTAAGAGGGTCAGGGGGCTGGGGCTGGGGGGGGGTGGAAATGAGCTCAGGGCCGCGCAGTTGGCCTATTCTGGCCTGGACGTCGTCGTCCCTCCTCTGACCCTCAAGCGACTGTGGGGCGCGGCCAGCCGGGCCGCTGCAGCAGAGTTAGGGGGCGCCCGCCCAGCTTGAGGGCAGCATGAGTGTCTGCGCGTCTGGAGGAAACAGGCCGGGTGGTGCTGTCCATCCTCGCCTGTTCTCTCCCTCATCGCTGGGCTGCACGCGGCCCGGACACAGGCGCAGGGGGTCCGTGCAGGGCAGGGCCGCGGCCAGAGTCTGCGCCCCCAGCGACCCCCGCTGGGCCTTGGGAGGTGTCGGGGGCCTCGCCCTGGCCTCGCCCCGAGGCGG